ATTCTTTTTATATCACAAAAATAAATTCTAGAAATAAGAAGAATTAAACTAGATCATAAAACTACTTTCATTTTTATTACATTTTTGGAAATACATGATATTTGTTATAAAAAATGACAATAGCCTTATATTCTTTTTATATCACAAAAATAAAATTCTAGAAATAAAGAAGGATTAAAAAGATTCAAATACATTTGAATAATTATTGATAATAACAATAAATATATATTTGAAATTTTGAAAAAGATATAAAGTATTGTGAAAAGAATGCTAAAAATATTAAACTTTCTTTGAAAAAATTGAAAAAATATTAAAATTAAAAAATGTTTACAGCTAACTTTAAATATCAATATTGTTCTCATTCTTTTTCAAGCCATAATGCATATGCCCAACATGTAAATCTATATATTGTTAAGTATGATATTAGTACAGAAGAATTCAACAATTCCAATGATTTCAATAATGAAATTTCAGAAATGATTTCAGAAGTCACTGATATGGTAGTAGATAGTGAAAATAATGAAAATAGTGAATATAGTGAATATAGTAAAAATAGTGAAGATAGTGTAAATAGTGAAAGACAAGAAGAAATGACATCAAGTTTCAAAATGAGAGAAAATTCACAAGATCTTCAAAAGTATAATGGTGATGTTTCATTAATATCACTTTCAATTTCAAAAAGATATGAAAATTTACCTTCGAGTTTACAAAGTTTTGAAGAATCCAAAATTAAAAATGTTAAAAAATTTTCAAGTGAAACTTACGCTAACTTGATGACTCTTGTTACTAAACATAATCTAAATAATCAAACTGGTGACAAAATTATAAATTTCTTTAATAAGTATTCTAATTTATCTATTTCTCCCCTTCCTAAAAATATTCTTGTTGATCGAAAATTCATAGATGATATAAATTTATTACACTTAGCTAATTATAAACATTGTATATTTGTTCATAATGATAATGAATATTTTATACTATACTTGCACGCAAAATTATTTTGGGGCCCCGAAATTACAATTTCGGGGAAAAAAGTTGAAATAGTTTTTCATA